CCCGACGAGTGTCGCTCCCAACGAGTGTCGCTCCCAACGAGTGTCAACGAGTGTCGCTCCCAAAGAGTGTCGCTCCCAACGAGTGTCGGTCCCAACGAGTGTCGCTCCCAACGAGTGTTGCTCCCAACAAGTGTCGCTCCCAACAAGTGTCGCTCCCAATGAATGTCAACGAGTGTCGCTCCCAACGAGTGTTGCTCCCTACGAATGTCACTCCCAACGAGTGTCGCTCCCAACAAGTGTCACTCCCATCGAGTGTCGCTCCCAATGAGTCTCGCTCCCAACGAGTGTCGCTCCCAACGAGTGTCGCTCCCAACGAGTGTCGCTCCCAACGAGTGTCGCTCCCAACAAGTGTCGCTCCCAACGAGTGTCGCTTCCAACGAGTGTCGCTCCCAACAAGTGTCGCTCCCAACGAGTGTCACTCCCAACGAGTATGGCTCCCAACGAGTGTCGCTCCCATCGAGTGTCACTCCCAACGAGGGTCACTCCCAACGAGCGTCGCTCCCAACGAGCGTCGCTCCCAACGAGTGTCGCTCCCAACGAGAGTCGCTCCCAACAAGTGTCGCTCCCAATGAATATTAACAAGTGTCGCTCCCAACGAGTGTCGCTCCCAACGAGTGTGGCTCCTAACGAGTGTCGCTCCCAATAAGTGTTGCTCCCAACGAGTGTCACTCCCAACGAATGTCACTCCCAACGAGTGTCGCTCCCAACAAGTGTCACTCCCAATGAGTGTCGCTGCCAACAAGTGTCGCTCCCAACGATGTCGCTCCCAACAAGTGTCGTTCCCAACGAGTGTCGCTCCCAACGAGTGTTGCTCCCAACGAGTGTTACTCCCAACAATTGTCGGTCCCAACGAGTGTCGCTCCCAACGAGTGTCGCTCCCAACGAGTGTCGCTCCCAACGAGTGTCAACGAGTGTCGGTCCCAACAAGTGTCGCTCCCAACGAGTGTTTCTCCCAACGAGTGTCACTCCCAGTGTCGCTTCCAACGAGTGTCGCTCCCAACGAGTGTCGCTCCCAACGAGTGTCCCTCCCAACGAGTGTCACTCCCAACGAGTGTCGCTCCCAACGAGTGTCGCTCCCAACGAGTGTCGCTCCCAACGAGTGTCCCTCCCAACGAGTGTCGCTCCCAACGAGTGTCAACGAGTGTCGCTCCCAACAAGTGTCGCTCCCAACGAGTGTCCCTCCCAACGAGTGTCACTCCCAGTGTCGCTTCCAACGAGTGTCGCTCCCAACGAGTGTCGCTCCCAACGAGTGTCCCTCCCAACGAGTGTCACTCCCAACGAGTGTCGCTCCCAACGAGTGTCGCTCCCAACGAGTGTTACACCCAACGAGTGTCCCTCCCAACGAGTGTCACACCCAACGAGTGTCACTCCCAACGAGTGTCGCTCCCAACCAGTGTTGCTCCCAACGAATGTCGCTCCCAACGAGTAACGCTCCCAACGAGTGTCAACGAGTGTCGCTCCCAACGAGTATCACTCCCAACGAGTGTCACTCCCAACGAGTGTCGCTGCCAACAAGTGTCGCTCCCAACGAGTGTCGCACCCAACGAGTGTCAACGACTGTCGCTCCCAACGAGCGTCGCTCCCAACGAGTGTCGCTCCCAACGAGTGTCTTTCCCAACGAGTGTCGCTCCCAACGAGAGTCACTCCCCACGAGTGTCACTCCCAACGAGTGTCGCTCCCAACGAGTGTCGCTCCCAACAAGTGCCGCTCCCAATGAATGTCAACGAGTGTCGCTCCCAACAAGTGTTGCTCCCAACGAGTGTGGCTCCCAACGAGTGTCGCTCCCAACAAGTGTCACTCCCAACGAGTGTCGCTCCCAATGAGTGTCGCTCCCAACGAGTGTCGCTCCCAACGAGTGTCGCTCCCAACGAGTGTCGCTCCCAACGAGTGTCGCTCCCAACGAGTGTCGCTCCCAACGAGTGTCGCTCCCAACGAGTGTCGCTCCCAACAAGTGTCGCTCCCAACGAGTGTCGCTCCCAACGAGTATGGCTCCCAACGAGTGTCGCTCCCATCGAGTGTCACTCCCAACGAGGGTCACTCCCAACGAGCGTCGCTCCCAACGAGTGTCGCTCCCAACGAGTGTCGCTCCCAACGAGAGTCGCTCCCAACAAGTGTCGCTCCCAATGAATGTTAACAAGTGTCGCTCCCAACGAGTGTCGCTCCCAACGAGTGTGGCTCCTAACGAGTGTCGCTCCCAATGAGTGTTGCTCCCAACGAGTGTCACTCCCAACGAATGTCACTCCCAACGAGTGTCGCTCCCAACAAGTGTCACTCCCAACGAGTGTCGCTCCCAACGAGTGTCGCTCCCAACGAGTGTCGCTCCCAACGAGTTTCGTTCCAAACGAGTGTCGCTCCCAACGAGTGTTGCTCCCAACGAGTGTCACTCCCAACAATTGTCGGTCCCGACGAGTGTCGCTCCCAACGAGTGTCGCTCCCAACGAGTGTCAACGAGTGTCGCTCCCAAAGAGTGTCGCTCCCAACGAGTGTCGGTCCCAACGAGTGTCGCTCCCAACGAGTGTTGCTCCCAACAAGTGTCGCTCCCAACAAGTGTCGCTCCCAATGAATGTCAACGAGTGTCGCTCCCAACGAGTGTTGCTCCCTACGAATGTCACTCCCAACGAGTGTCGCTCCCAACAAGTGTCGCTCCCAACGAGTGTCACACCCATCGAGTGTCGCTCCCAATGAGTCTCGCTCCCAACGAGTGTCGCTCCCAACGAGTGTCGCTCCCAACGAGTGTCGCTCCCAACGAGTGTCGCTCCCAACGAGTGTCGCTCCCAACGAGTGTCGCTCCCAACGAGTGTCGCTCCCAACAAGTGTCGCTCCCAACGAGTGTCACTCCCAACGAGTATGGCTCCCAACGAGTGTCGCTCCCATCGAGTGTTACTCCCAACGAGGGTCACTCCCAACGAGCGTCGCTCCCAACGAGCGTCGCTCCCAACGAGTGTTGCTCCCAACGAGAGTCGCTCCCAACAAGTGTCGCTCCCAATGAATGTTAACAAGTGTCGCTCCCAACGAGTGTCGCTCCCAACGAGTGTGGCTCCTAACGAGTGTCGCTCCCAATAAGTGTTGCTCCCAACGAGTGTCACTCCCAACGAATGTCACTCCCAACGAGTGTCGCTCCCAACAAGTGTCACTCCCAATGAGTGTCGCTGCCAACAAGTGTCGCTCCCAACGATGTCGCTCCCAACAAGTGTCGTTCCCAGCGAGTGTCGCTCCCAACGAGTGTTGCTCCCAACGAGTGTTACTCCCAACAATTGTCGGTCCCGACGAGTGTCGCTCCCAACGAGTGTCGCTCCCAACGAGTGTCAACGAGTGTTGCTCCCAACGAGTGTCGCTCCCAACGAGTGTCGGTCCCAACGAGTGTCGCTCCCAACGAGTGTTGCTCCCAACAAGTGTCGCTCCCAACAAGTGTCGCTTCCAATGAATGTCAACGAGTGTCGCTCCCAACGAGTGTTGCTCCCAACGAGTGTGGCTCCCAACGAGTGTCGCTCCCAACGAGTGTCACTCCCAACGAGTGTCACTCCCAACGAGCGTCGCTCCCAACGAGCGTCGCTCCCAACGAGTGTCGTTCCCAACAAGTGTCGCTCCCAACAAGTGTCGCTCCCAATAAATGTTAAATAGTGTCGCTCCCAACGAGTGTCGCTCCCAACGAGTGTGGCTCCCAACGAGTGTCACTCCCAACGAGTGTCACTCCCAACGAGTGTTGCTCCCAACGAATGTGGCTGCCAACGAGTGTCACTCCCAACGAGTGTCACTCCCAACGAGTGTCACTCCCAACGATTCTTCGTGCAGTGGTCGCACCTCACTGCCACGTGCAAGGGCACCCACTATGTGGGCCGCCTCATGTGATGCTCACTGGCCAAAAGCACAGCAGCGGACCCAACTCTTGTTACGAGGTGACTCTTGAGTCAACTCAAAAGGCCGCTCAATGGATTGCGTCTCTATGCAGTGGCTACACGTCGCCCGCTCATGCAAGGGCATCCACCCACCCACTACCTGCGCTGCCACAAACCCAGCGTGGACCGATACCCAGTGCTTGGGCATCGTGGACCTATTCTGAGATTAGATGACTCAAAAGGCAACCTGCTGCATGGCCTGGGCATCGTCGTGGACCGATTCTTCATGCACTGGCCTCTGGCCCTTCCTCCCAAGGCCCCCTCCACTCTCTAATACTCTCGCCTCTTGGGCTCTCTCCCCTCTGCTCCCCTGACCAGTGCTGTGCTAGTGCTACCACTCCTGCCACCCAGGCTACAAAGCCATCTCTCTCGCACAACCTCTGCTTCTTACATCCCACGGTACTGCTGCTCAGCCCCCCCCACCCCCTCCCACCACCTCCCGCTCCATCTTTGATTCGATGGCTCCCCAAGTGGGCCCCTGCCGCAAGCCCCTCTCCGATGCCTGTGCCCCGACAAACGGACATGTACGGAGGTACCGTAGAGGTTGCTAGAGAGGTATGTGGAAATGAAATTGAACCCACAAGACGTGAATGAGTACGTCACTCGCTGCTGAACATCGTCCTCCATATTGGCAACCGCAAAAACGAAGTACAATTACCGTAACATCTGTTGTTCCGATGATTTCTTTTGAATGCAAAAAACGGAGCACATACTGTTCACACGTCTGGCTTTCAAAATACAAGTAATATACATGACCTTATGATAAGACCTGGGTCTTATAAAATGCCGCAACTGGGGTGGAATTCTTATAATACCCCCGGGTCTTTATCCGGGGTATTACGGTGACTCATGATGTTTTGAACAAATCTTTTTTATTAAGATTTAATTAGCAAATTTCTCCTTGTCTTGACAAATTTCTGAACGGGTTCACTGCATAGAACCTTCCTTTCTCACCACTGCTGTACGAGATTCGCAGTGGTTATCGAGCAGCTGATGGCATGACGCCCCCCTGCACAGCCCCCACTACGCCCCCAGCTACTTCATGAGCTCCGCCCTGTTCACAGCCAGTGCCTCCGACAGCTTCTCCGGCTGCCTGCCCCCCACCTACGTGACATTGGGGCGCCCCCCTCCCCCTCCCCCACACACACGTGCCATGGTGCCCGCTAGCTTGCCCACATTCACGCCCGCCTTCACCACCTGCGGGACACGACGGGGAGGGAAAGGGGGACACGTGGGTGGAGCGAGAGGAAGCAGACAATTGGGTGGGAGCAGGCAAGACAAGGGATGGCGAGAATGAGTGGGTGTTAGTCCAGAGACTGCTAGCTTGCACGGAATAAAGGGATGGGATTGTGGGAAGTGGCGGAGGAACAACATGAGGTGAGCATGAGCGCACAGCAGACAGCTACCACTCACCGCGGGGCTGAGCAGAGCCACAATGGCCACCTTGCCCTCCTCACTACTGCCGCCATCACTGCTCGCTGACAACTGAGCTGCGAGGCTCTCTGCGGCCGACTTGAGGGCATCTGATGTCACCCCCGGCAGCTCCGCCACCAACACACTGAGGGGGGGAGAGGGGGGATGGGGAGGAGGGGGGATGGGAGGAGGTGGGGATGGGGAGGAGGTGGGGATAGGGGGAATGGGCTTGCTGCGTTGTGAGTCGACTCAACGGGCATCTACTGTCACTCCCGGCAGGTCCGCCCTAGCACCCTGAGAGAGGGGATGGGCTTGTTGCGTTGTGTGGGAGGTGGAGACGAAGTGCGGTGTGGAGGGAATTTAAGCATGTGTGTGGTGTGAGTGGTGGGCTTTGATCACACCTCCCATTTATGCATCCTGTCCCCTCTCCCCTCTCATGCCCTCTCCCCTCTCATGCCCGCCTCCACCCCAGCGTCCTCCCCCCCCCCAGCTCACCGGCACCCCATGGCCCCCACAGTCTCTGCCTGCCCCAGCAGCAGCTGGGAGCGCGCCACAGCCAGCTCGCCCCTGAGGCTCTCCGCCTCGCTGCGCGCCGCCCGCAGCTCCTCCTGCAGCACTGCCACTCGCGCTGGCACCTCGTCCGCCTTCACCTAAGGAGCACAAGTGAGACAGAAGGGAAGTGGTGGATGCACAAGTGGTGAATCTCCAGAGAGTGCATGCAGAAAGAGGCGGCTCGCAGCTCCTCCTGCAGCAATGCCACTCGCGCCAGCACCTCCTCTGCCTTCACCTGCATTCCCAGCGCAGCCTGGCGTTGGAAAGGAATGAGAAATGAGGCAGGAGTCGGTGTGTTGAGCGAGAGGAGAGACACAAGTCGTCGACGCAGAAATGGAGAATCGCCAAAGAGTGTACGGAGAAAGAGCGTGGGGGAAACAACGTGTGGAGCAGAGAGAGTATGCCGTGAAGGGGGCCAGCATCGTTGTTCACAGCCGAGAGATGCTAAGAAGCACAACAAGGTGTGCAGCGGTGCAACGAGAGGTGCAGAACAGACGAGTGGGTATGCAGTGAGGATCTAAAGGGCGGGCATGGACGAACCTTGAGGGAGGAGGAGAATGCCTTCACGACGCCGTCCCACTGGTGCAGCAGTTCCACCGCTGCCTCCCCCGCCACAGCCTCAATGCGCCTCACACCCGCTGCCATGCCCGCCTCGGAGAGCAGCTTGAAGGCGCGGATGTGCGCCGTGTTGCCGACATGCGTGCCGCCACACAGCTCCATGCTTATGCCCGGCACGTCGATCACTCGCACCTGTAAGGGCGAGGATAGTGGAGGAAGGAGAGGGCGAGGATACTGAAGGAAGGAGAGGGCGAGGGTAGTGGAGGAAGGAGAGGGCGAGGATAGTGGAGGAAGGAGAGGGCGAGGGGGATAGGTGTGTTGGAGTCGGCTCACGTGCTCACTACCATGCACTGACACCCCTCAGAGCGGCACTTGAGGTTTGCTTGAACCCTGCGCCCCCCTGCCCTTGCTGCAACTCTCTCACGTGCGTGCCTGGCGTCTCCACTCCACAACACAGCACCGACGGTGTCACACCATGCCGCCCACATGCCTCTCCCTCTCCCTGTCCTCTCCCTTACACCATACCTCCTCACCTCACCATACTTCTCTCCAAACATCGCGATGGCGCCAGCACCATACTTGGTTCCCACCGGGGATGGTCCGGCCCATGCCCCTCCAGCCCCTTCACACATGCGAAAACCTCTCCCTGCCCTTCCCCTTCCCCCCACACACACCTCGTCACCGTAATTCTCCCCAAACATCGCAATCGCCCAGGCAGCCTTGGCGTCGGCAATGGGCATGACAGCAGCTGTGATATCAGCGCCAGCGACGATCCGCCGGTTCACGCGCGACTCCACGGTGGCGAGCTCTTTGGGCGTGAGGGCGCGTGGGAAGTGGAAGTCGAAGCGCAGGCGATCGAATGCCACCAGACTGCCCGCCTGCGCCACGTCCGGCCCCAGCTGCTCGCGCAGTGCTGCTTGCAAGAGATGTGTTGCTGTGTGGTGCGCCTGGAGGAGGGGAGGGAAAGGGACACGGGGAGGAGCAGAGCGGAGGGATGAGGATGAGGCATGTGGTGAGAACTTAAAATGGAACCATAATTTGACCTCAGCCCTCACCTCTGCGCTCACTCTCACCTGCACCCTCATTCCCTCACCCCTCACCTGCGCCCTCATTCCCTCACCCCTCACCTGCGCCCTCATTCCCTCACCCCTCACCTGCGCCCTCATTCCCTCACCCCTCACCTGCGCCCTTAGCCGTTGCTCCTCATCCACCACCGCCTCCACCTTATCGCCCACACACACCTCCCCCTCCTCCACCTCCCCCGGTGCAGCCACAGCCCTCCCCCCGCCCGCTGCACGTCCCTCACACGCACCACCGCCCTCCCTCCCTCCCCCTCCCCCTCCCCTTGCGTGCCCTGCAGCACGCGCATGTGCCCCCAGTCGCCAATCTGGCCGCCCCCCTCGGCGTAGAAGGGAGTGCGCGCCAGCACCACATCCACCGCCTGCCCCGCTGCTGCGTGCTCCACCACCTTGCAGTCCACCACGAGCGCCACCACGGGTGAGGAGGACGCGAGGGATGAGTAGCCCACGAACTCGGTCTCGGGCACCTGCCCTGCCAGGTCCGCTGCTGCCCCACCCAAGCCAGCTTGATGGCACTGTGCGCCGCTTGGGGGGGGTGGGGGGAGACATGGATTGTTGTTTGAAGAGAACCAAGTGAAGGGAGGTGGACTGGAGGGGACCGATTATCTTGGCCTAGCTCCAAATGAAGCCCACTTTTCCGTACCTCTCTAGCTTGACTACCTGTACTCCCTTTCCCATTCCAAACAACACATTCTCTGCTCGATATAACCTCATCCTCACACGCCTACCTACGACTGCCTGCTCTGTGCCGTCATCTGTTGCTTAAAGCCAGCCATGTCCACGGCCACGCCCCTCTCTCTCGCTACCTCCTCCGTGATCTCCACGGGGAACCCGTACATGTCGTACAGCACAAACGCATCCCGCCCACTCAACACCGCACCCGTTGGCCTCCCGCCCCCCTCCCCTCCCTCCCTTCCTGCAACAGCACCGTCTGCAGCAGCACCGTCAGCGGCAGCATCATCAGCAGCGCTATCAATGGCGGCAGAGAGTGCCTGGGAGAGCAGGAGGTGGAGCATCTTCTCGCCGCGCTCCAGCGTGCCCACAAACCGCTCATCCTCGCGCTGCAGCTCCTCCACCACCCGCTCTACTCGCTCCCCCACGTTGTTGTTGATGTCCGCACTCATGGCTATCACCTGGTGGGTGGGGAGATAGGGGAGAGGGGAGGGGGATGCGGTGTTTGGGCGTGCACGGGAGGAATCACAGTCCTGCATGTACCCCATTCCCCCACTGGCGCTCCTTGCACCGCAGATCCTCCACCACGCCCTCGGCACGATCTATCACATTGCTGTTGATGTCCTTGCTCATGGCTATCATCTGGTACAGGGGAGGGGGGGATTGTGGGAAGGTTGGGTGTACAGGGCAATAGGTGCGGTGCGCATGGGAGGAAGCACATGCCCCCACTGGCATTGCTGCTCGTGGCTGCATCCTGCCCTATCAGCTGGCGGAGGGGGAAGGAGAGGAGATGGAGGGGTTGAGATGAGAAAGCAGGAAAAAGGACGATGAAGAGGTACAAAAAAGAGGCACAGGTACATGAAGTGAGTGGGGGATGGAACCAGGAACCACCAAGCATGCAAGTGCAAAGAAACAAATGGAGTGGGGAGGAGGCTAAATCCCACATGTGTCGAGCGATGATGGGCAGGAAGGCAAAGTCGCCAGCCCCAACAGCACTGCCATTGCTATTGGCGCTGTCGGTGGCGGTGTGAGTAGCGGTGGTGGCATTGATACCAAGCAGGCGGGCGATGCGCACAAGGCGGCGCACGAGGCAGCGCACGACGTAGCCGCGGCTGAGATTGGAGGGCGACACGCCGTCCGCCACGAGATGCACCACCGCCGTCGCATGGTCGCCTATCACCTGCACCGGCACGGCGGAGGTGTGCAGGAGGGTGTGGAGGTCAGTGCACCCGCAACGCGATGAGATGAGATGAGATGCATCTAGCACCGACCCGGCATAGTGTCTACGGCCTAGAAATAGAAACAACTGAGCAGGGTAAGGTGGAGGGCGAACAGAGGCAAGCGGAAGCAGGGCCATGGTGGTGGGGCACACCTGCGCCAGCAGCGAGGGGTTGCTTCACAATAGGCATGTGGAATCCCACCCTGGAAACCCTCATCCTTGCCCCCTCGCCCCTCCTCTCACACATTGAGCATGCGCTTGGTGTCGTCATTAGCGCTGTGGTAGTCCACACCTGCCAGCTCAGCAGCGCACTGCACGATGGGGAAGATGAGGCCCGTCTCGTAATTGCTCGGCACCTGCCGAGGCATGGGGGCACGCTGTGTGGGCACGCCATGTGGCACCGGGAAGGCCACACATGACCACGGGGAGTAAGATGTGTGGGATGAAATGTGGGTGAAAGGGGAGATGGGTTGGGAGGTGATGGCGTTGATGCATGCGCTGGCCCTGAGACAGCACCAAGCAGGTGCCCGACTACACACGTCAGCACTGGCACTTCCACCCCGTTACTTTACTTCATGCGACATCTTGCACCTAAACACATGAATGCAAGCACACCACCAGCACATGCATGAATCACCACCATAACTACCGCAGCACACCTCAGCGCGGTTCACTTGCTGCACGCCCCACCTTACCCACAAGCCCACAAGCACCACAGCGTGCACCCACCTGTTGCAAGATCTGTGCGAGGTGTTGGGTGCAAATGCACATTGCACGACATCCTGCCGTCTGTTTGTACGAGTATGCGTGTGCGAATGCATTTGCGTGTGAATGGTGTGTTCGTGTGTTTGTTTGCTTTCGCATTTTTCGCTTGATGCATTTGCAGGTACTCGCGCAATGTGCGCTTTGGCACAACATTGTATGCGCTATGAACAGTGCAAGCAGGAAGGACGAGCTCGCAAAGGAACCCAAGATGGAAGCTTTGCAGTTCGGTTGAGTTGATTGCGCAGATTCAGTTCTATCCAACTCGGAATTGTACTGTTTTGTTTGGTTAACTATAGTGTAGCAGGGAAGGCACTATAGGGGTACAATTTAGGTGAAGGTTGGATGTTGTTTGTCTGTATCTGCATGCTACAAGGCCAGTGGAAACCAGCGGAACCAGCATTTGGCTGGTTGGGCAAAGACAAAAACAGGTTCTGTTTTTAGAACCTGAACCTGGTTGTTGTTTTCCCAGGTTGGAAAAACAGAACCAGAGGTTGTTTACCAACCTACCACCTGCTATTTTGTCCAGCCAGGTTGGTTCTGTTGCTTGGAATTATTTGGGATCATCCCTGGTTGTTCCCAGGTTGATTCCCAAGGTCCTTGCTAGCTAGAACTATTTAATCCTTCTCTGTTTGTACCTGAATATAGTCAAATTGATTCAAGCGAATTCCTTCCTCGCTGGAATTTCGTTTCTGCGCTATTCGACGGCGGAATGCTACCCGAGTCAACGCTAGTATGCTAGCACTCCAACGCTAGGCAAACGCTGTCCGAGCCATAACTTAGTAATGGCAGAACTTTTCGCGAGGCAACTTGGCTCATTTTAAAGCTCTTGGAGCGAGCTTCGATATAGCGAATTCTCAGCTTAATCCGATCGACGGTCTGCACGGCACGCTGCGCGACGTTCAAGGTACTCTTGCTGTTTTGACTAAGTCCTTCTTGATCCCTCTCTCTACAAACTCGGACCCGAGGATAGGGGCTGGTCTTGTACCAGGCACCCAGGGACCCTTGGAGGTGACCTCGAGGAGAGGTTTTAAGTTTGGTTAAGTCCTAATAGCTTGAGTTTATTAGGCCCTTACACCAACAAGCTGGTATCAGAGCTGCGTTATAGTGATCCTCGTTATAGGTAGCTATGGCGGGCAACACCTCGGCGGGAGCTGGTGAATCTTCAGCCCAAGATCGTAGCGGCAGCCAAGATTCTGGTCTTTCAGCGCCAAGGGGAGCGCGAACAAACCAGGGCTCGCTTGTCAAGGAGGTGCTGAAGAATTTCACCGTCGAGAAGTTCAATGGTGAGGGCTATGATGATTGGGCCTGGAAAATGCAATTATATTTCCGTCAGATCGGTTTGCTGAAACTAATGATTGGGGAGGAGCCTAGACCGAGTGACCCCACGCTGCAGGAAGATTGGGACGAGCGCTCCTCGGCTGGCTACTATTTGATGTCGCAGAGTTTGGAGCTGAACCAGCGTCACCACGTCATGCACCTGCTGCCGGAGGTTGAATGCGGTCCGAAGGCGTGGACCGTGTTGAAGGAGCTGCACGCCCCGACCTCCGTTGTCGCAACGTTGATGCTGGAGAGGGAGCTGTCCGCGTTGCGCCTGAGCGAGGGAGAGCCGGTGCAACCAGTCCTGGACAAGATGCGCGACCTCTACGCGAAGTTGGCGACCGCGGGAATCACCTACCCGGAGCAGACCAAGTGCTTGAAGATGCTCTCGCTGCTGCCAGAATCGTGGCTTCAATTTACGAGCGGATTGAGCCTGCCGCAGAACCAGAGCTTGTGGACGCTCGAGTGGGTGCGGACGAAGATTCTGGAGGAGGACTTCCGTCGCCGCCAACTGAGGGGTGGAGACGACGGCAGCAGCGGCTACGGGATGCAAGGGAGCCGACGTGGCAGAGGACGTGGCTTCGGTGGTGCTGGACGCGGTGCAAAGAAAGACGACGACTCCAACGACCAACAAGGAGGTACCGGTTGGGGTCGCGGTGCGAAATCTGGACGTGGGGGCAAGTCGGGTGCTGGTGGCAAAATGAAAGGGAGTTGCTGGTATTGTGAGAAGGAAGGGCACCCCTGGTTTTTGTGCTATAAGAAACCCGATGGATGGACCCCCCAGAATCGTCACCAGGATGGCGGCGCGCGGAGGAACCAGAAAAACGGCGCCAACATGGTCGCTGATTCGTCCGACAACAACCCGAAGGGCAACGGCGGTGCGGAGAAGAAGAAGGAGCGCACCGCGGGCCAATTCTTCCATGTAGGAGACAAGGGGGAGCAAGGAGACGCCTCTGCCAAAGTTGGAGCAGAGCTGCACCCCCTAGACTATTGGGTGTTGGACACAGGCGCTGCTTGGACGATGACGCCGCGCAAGGACCTGCTGGACGAAGTACGAGCTGCACCGATCAATGAAGTGTGCTCCGCCTCTGGACACATGTTGAAGGTGGCTGGTGCGGGACGAGCTGCGTTTAAGGGAGCGGATGGCAAGCCGGTGGTGCTGCACGACGTTCTCTTCGTCCCCGACCTGAAGGCCAACCTTATCTCCCTCCGTAAGCTTGGCAAGGCTGGGGTGAACACCAACACGGATGGGGCACGCACTTATAAGGGGAAGCTGGGCAATCGGGTGCTTTGGGATCTGCACGAGAGCAAGGACGTGTACAGATCTATGTGGCAGCTGCCGGCCCTGGCGTGGCATGGTGGGGGGCAGGCTGGAGAGGGGTCTGCATCCCAGGGGGAGTGCAATGCCGTTGGAGGGGTTGGTGTGAAAGTGTCGGCCAGATCTGGGGAGACAGATTGGGCAACGGCACACCGGCGCTTAGGGCATGTGGCAATGCCTTTGCTGAAGCAGCTGGAGAAGGATGGAGCCGTTAAGGGTCTGAAGCTGAACGGACAGCCACCCGATGACAACTGTGAAATCTGTTTGCTTTCAAAGTTCACCCGTTTCCCTTTCCATAGTGTGGCTGGCAGGAGCAAGAAGCCTTTGGAGCTGGTCCACATGGACTTGGTGGGGCTGCTGCCGGTGCAAGGGCACAAGGGGGAGCGGTATTTTCTTACAATTGTGGATGACTGGAGCAGGCTGATGTGGGCGTATCCGCTGAAGCAGAAGGACCACGCCGCCTCCACGATACGGGACGATTGGCTGCCATTCGTGGAGAAGCAGGCGGAGTGTGTAGTGAAGCGGATTAGGACAGACCGGGGTGGTGAGTTCCTTGGAGCTGAAATGACGGCCTGGCTCAAGAAGCAGGGCATCCAGTTAGAGCTGACCACGGCTTATACCCCACAGTCCAATGGTGTAGCAGAACGGGCAAACCGGACCATTCTGGAGACAGCTAGGGCGCTGCTCATAGAATCTGGGCTGAGCAATTCTATGTGGCCTCATGCTGTCCGGCACGCCACTGTCGCTAGGAACAGGGTGCTCACCAAGGTTGGGGATGACTCGTGGGTGCCGTTGGAGAGGTGGCTTGGGAGGAAGCCGCCGGTGGACATGCTGAGGGTGTTCGGTTGCATGGCAGTCGCCCACGTCCCCAAGACCTACCGCAGTAAGTTGGGGGCGAGTGCAATCTGGTGTGTGCATTTGGGGCTGGCTGCTGAGAGCAAGGGATGGCTGCTGTGGGAACCATCCAAGGGTGTGTTGTTTGACAGCAGGGATGTGAAATTCATTGAGGGCATGATGTATGGGAGCTGGGAGAAACAGCCGGAGGCAAGGGTGTCCCAGCAGATGGAGCAGATCACCATGCAGCTGGACCTGACTCCTAGTGTGTGGGAGGAGGGAGAGGAGGCAGCTGCTGGAAATGGTGATGGAGAGAAGGTACAGGAGGCATCTGCTGGTGGAGAAAATGGTGTGGAAACTGGCGGCAGCACTAGTGGAGCTGCTGGACCCGAGGGAGGAGAGAAGCAGCAGGGAAAAACTAAGAAGCCGAAGGGTGTCGTTATGAAGGGATGGGAGACACCCGTCTCCAGGCCAGGACGTACCCGTATGGCTACTAAGAAGCTGACTGCAGGAACTGATGCAGCAGAGCAGCAGCTAGGGACCGAAGAGGCATTGCTGATTCTACCTCATGGCTATGACCCGGATGAGGAGGATGAGCCTGCGTACTGTTTTCTTGCCCCTGCACCAGAGGAACCAGCTAGCATGGAGGAGGCATTAGCTGGACCAGATAGGGACAAGTGGCTGGCTTCTAGGGATGCTGAGTACCAGAGTCTGCTGGAGAATAGGACATGGGATCTGGTGGTGCTGCCTGATGGGAAGAAAGCGATACAATGCAAGTGGGTGCTGAGGATCAAGACCGATGACAAGGGGCAGGTCACCATCTACAAGAGTAGGCTGGTGGCGAAGGGGTTTATGCAGAAGGAGAAGCAGGACTTCAACGAGAACTTTGCTCCCACTGCCAAACCCCCTACCCTCCGTGTCTTGTTGGCAGATGCAGCTGTTAGTGGGAAATTCATCATTCAGATGGATATTTCAACGGCATTCCTGAATGGGATTTTAGAGGAGGATGTGTACATGACACAGCCGCCTGGGTATGAGGATGGTACGGGCAGGGTGTGCAAGCTCAACAAGTCCATCTACGGCTTGAAGCAGGCGCCACGCTGCTGGTACCAGAAATTGGCAGCTGTTTTAGAGGAGATGGGATTCAGGACCAGCAGCTGTGATGAGAGCCTCTTTCTCAAGGGCGAGGGGGAGAAGCTGGTGCTGTTTCTGGTCTATGTGGACGACATTCTTCTCTTCAGCAGCAGCATGAAGGAGATCCAGAAAGTGCAGCAGCAACTGATGGAAAACTTCAAGTGCAAGAACCTTGGGGAGGTAAAGTACTACCTCGAGATGCACGTGGAGAGGGATCCAGATCACAGGTGGTTGAAGCTACACCAGGAGAAGTTCATCAAGGAGCTGGGGGAGAA